TTGCCTCGTGGCATGAACTTCCCATTGCGAGCTAGGCGTTCTACCTAGTTGGTACGGCAAGAGTAGGGCTCGATTGAGGTGTCCCCGTTGGATTAAGAGTTTGCTCGCACACACACACACAAAAGCGAGTTCTTGTTTTTTTGTCTCGAGTCGAGGAGTCGAGCTTGTACCCTAGTGTGCCCCTGTGGTCCCGAAGCGAGTAGGTCGCGGGCAATGTTTAACTGTAGTACTGTTTAAGCTTTTCAGTGTTCCATGGTCGAGCAAGTTCCCCCCCCCCCCTCCCGTGTAGGTTTTCAAGGTAGTAGGCGTTGTTTTCTATCTTTACGCGTACGCGATAGGGACCTTCCTATTTTTCTGCGAGGTTGCCCTCCCATGAGTCTTTCTGGTTCCTTCGTAGGACTAGGCTTCCTACCTAGAACTCGCGTTTGATGACTTTGTAGTCATGTCGCAAAGTTATTTTTTGCTTGAGTGATATTTCACAGACGGATGCCTCGACCTAATATCTTTGACCAGGTCGAACTCCTCTCTTAGGGCCTCATCTTCCATCTCTTTGTCAAGAGGAAATTCTATCCTCCTGGAAGGTTCCCTTATTTCCACCGGGATCGCCGCCTCAGTTTTATAGGTAATTAGGAGTCCTCGTTCAATCAGATACCTCTTCATGTCGTCTGAGGTAGACACTTGTATAACCTCTTGGTTGAATCTATCTATATAGTCCCAAAGAGATTCTTCCTTCCCATGGATGGTGGCTTCTAGGGATGCTTTCGTCTTCGGGTGTCGCCGGGAAGCGGTGAAGTTCCTGGAGAACTACCTCTTCATCTCTCTCCAGGAGGTGATGGACTCGGACTCGAGGCTTTTATACCACGTCATCGCTTCTTTCCTCAAGGTCGTGGGAAAGAGCCTGCACTTGATGGCTCCCCAGACGTTCCTGTAGTCGAGCATCACATTGATGCTTTAAATATGGTCGTTTGGATAGGTCGTACCATCGTAGGTAGTCGGGGTCAGGGGTTTCTCCATCCCGACCGGGAGAGGAGTCTCCGTGATATCCCTGGACAGCGGAGTGCGGGGGTCATCCTCGTCACTTCTGATGGGAAATTTTTGGGGGAAAGATCGTATTGAGAGCTTTTGTCGTGCCGTGGAGGGCTCCTCGAGCGACTCTTCAGCTTCCCAGTCTGCCCATTAGCTCTGTTTCTCTTGGGAGCTAAGGAACGTCGCTCTTTTTGGGGAGGAGAATGGTCACGCTTCTAAGCGGCCATTGAATGAAGCATTTCCAATCACGGACGATGCCTAGGTTGTCGTAGAAAGGGGCTCCGAGACTCATCATGTTGCAGCCTCCATGGGGGATGGGAAGGACAGACTTCTCATCGTCGCGGGGATGGGCTGCGAGAAACCGGGTGACGATGTCTCCGCGGGGGAGAGCGTGATCGTCTGTCTTTTTCCAACATTCTTATCTGCCCGTTTTGTTGGAAGATCATCAGGTTTGTTTGATTGATTTCCACAAACAGAGCCACCATGGTTGGGTCGGTGTTAGGTGGCACAAGGATTGGTTGGAAGACATTCGGGTTGTCAAAGTGTCGAGCGACGTTGAAGGACGCATCATCAGGGAAGGGTGAGGCGGTGTACCCGTCCCTGGCGTCGCCTTCTTCGACATGAACGATCATGTTGGGACCATGATCATCGTCGTTGATGAACGGGATGAAAATGGTTTCATGGATGTTGTCGTCATTGCGTGGGTTGGCCATGATCAGTGGAGGTTGAGGTATGCTTTGGTTCTTGGATTTCTTTTGAAGAACGGGGAAGCAAGATTCTCACAGACGGCGCCACTGATCTTACCGGATCCGAAAAGGATCAGCAGCCAACAACACGTCGTGAGCTCCTTAATTCACCGGTGGTGGAGAAGAGAAGGGGGTGTGCCTGCAAGGTACTTTGATGCCAAAGTAAGAGATGGAGTAGAAATAACAAGTACAGAGAAAGTGTGTAGAGAATTGAATATCAAACCCTCTAGTGAAAGGGGATATTTATAATGTACCCTCAGCGCTGGGCCAACGGTTACTTTGTACTGAATTGGATCGCAAGGCCTAATACGAGTAACTTTCATGCCTTATGTGGCGTAGGAAAGACTAGCACGTGGTCTTCGCTCTGGGAAGCACGTGGAGACCGTGAGGGAGACGTGTGAGAGCTTCCCGTGTGAGCTGATGAATTAGACCTTCATTGGGCCCTTATCGGCGAGGAGCTGGGTCGGACCATGCCCGACGGTGTGCCAGCCTTTGGCCTAGTTCAAAACAAGTGTAAACCTCATCCGTTCGTATTGGGCTATCAATTTTCACCTTTTTTGAAATTAAACAAGAACGTGGAATAACATACGTCTTCTTAGGTGTATTATCACACTTAGAGCTATCAGAACCTACTTTCTCAGCTCGTTTGTCTTCGTGAAAAATAAAATTCAAATCTTCTCGAGATATATTGTCGACTAACTATGAATAGAGATTGTTGTCTCTGAATAGTTGGTCTAAATCTGTAATGATGCGATCAAATGATGTGTGTATCTCATTATATTGATTTTTGATCATTTTGTTCACAAAGTCTCAGTCTCTACACAAATCACTTTTAATATTTTCCAACCAATTCTTCAGTGTAGTATGAGAAGATTCAACTCGGTTAGTTGTTGTGTAGTCAAAGTGCCTAACTTGATCAGTACAAGCACAAACAATCTTCTCCTTCACCTGGTCTAGAATTGTATTTTCAACATATTTAAAAAAAATCAAGATATTTCTCACATGCCTTCCTGGAAAGTATAACAGAATTAGCATATAACTCTTCCGCACAAGGATTTATTATAACATCACGATAGCTTTTACCATTTTTCCATCTTCACCCTTTATTTATTTGGTCCCTACTACAAGTTTAAGCCGACTTTTCACATTCTTTGTTATGTGATACCTACAAAGTAATGCAAATAAAATAGGAAACACATTTGCAACCGAGATCATCAATGTGGTATCGCGATCGGGAACAGTGACCTTCAACATGTTTTCTTTGTCCTTCGACATTATCTGAAACACTTCTAAAGCCCGGGTAATGTTGTCCTCTTTTTCGCATTTCAAAAATGCAAACCCAATGGAATAAGTCTTTTTGGTAGAGGTAACACCAACAATTTTTAATAATTGAAATTTGTACTTGTTGGTCTTATACATTGAATCAATAATGAGTACAGTGGAAAATATGTTGAACAACTTTATGGAATCAGGATGATTGCAAAATATATCTTGAACAGTTTCTCCATCCTCGCACACTCGGTACCTAGATACATAATGGTTATCATCCAGAAGGTTCAACAATTGTTGCATTTCAGTTTTATCCCATCTTATCGCCTTGTTGTTTTGGACACGAATATTGTATATTTGCTTGATATTTGAGATATTTCTAGGTCTTTTATGTTTCAAAGTCGCAAGTATGTTTTTAAATTGCACCATGTACAATGTCTAGTAAAAAAATAATTTCCTTCGCTTCTAGTATAAGGCAACATGGAATGGGATGACATGCTAACTTGTGACACATGTCATGATTATGTGTACCACAAATCACACTAAATATCCATTTATCATGTATCAAAAGTTATCCACACAACTTAAAAGGACACTCACATTTTTTTGAACCGATGCCATCTCGTTTCAACTTTCAAAGAGGAGTTGTGTACTTGTCACTTTTTTTCACATCTTAGTGTCACATTTGCAGTCTTCTATCTGAATCATTATCTGATCTTCTGATTACAAAGTCTTCTATCTGAATCATTATCTGATCTTCTGATTACAACGTCAAACTCCAATTTGCCTGTCTTTGTACAGACCAATTTGAGCATATGATCACGAACATCAAACTCTTATCTATTTGTAAATTAATTGCCAACTTCTACGTCGACAACAATAGGTTTGACATCCATAAACACAAAATATTCAAAAAAAAAAAAATTGAACTAATTCAAAAATATAAGAAAAAAAAATTACAAGTCTTAACCATTCACCTAGAATCAAACTAATATAAACAATGCGAAAGGAAATACATAATGATGGTTTAGTGTGCATAATAAGTTGATTGACAATGGAATGGTATTTTTTTAAGGACATTAAAAGAAAATGGTTTTTAATATAGGGGAGAACATTTTTTTTCCCTGGCACTTTTGGAGTGCACTTTTGGAATTGTCAAAGACATCCATTTTTTCAAATTTTTAAATTAGCAAAATCCTTCATATAGTGGATCTGAAATGCATTTTCAGTCTAAATTTTGAAGGAAAAAAATAGTCAAAAAATGCACTTCAAAATTCTCAAAGACATTTTTCAAATTTTCGGGTGTTTCTCCACTCTCAAAGATATATTCAATTTTTCATAGGGTGCTTCGCTTCACCACCACGTAGGTGAGAGAAGCAATCCCCAAAAAAGGTTGAAAGTGATGTTGAAAAAAGTCACAGTAAACAAATGTATGTATATTATGTGACTGTTTCACGTTTTTATTAGAGAATATTATACAACTGATATGATAAATTATAAAAATTTAACCGAAGACAAAAAAATAAATCGTATCAACCAGCACTACAGTTAGGCGTAAACTTTTACTTTTTTTTGTTTGTAAATTCACCAAAAACGTCATAAAATTTATCATTTAGAATCAAACCCTCTTGAAAGAAAAACGTATGAAAATACCCCAAAAGATGCAATTGCCCAGCAGCACCTTCCCGCAGACAAAATAACCCCTAGGCTACTTACCCCTACCCAACCAACCTATTACTTTTACCCTGCCTCAGAACAAAAAAAAAATCCCCTGTTAAGTAGGCAGGCTTGAGGCCCCTGTAACTTATTGCAATATTTGCAAATGCATGGTTCCAAACAAACCCGCCCTCTTTTTTCCCTCCCAAATCACCAGCCTTCTATAAAAACAAAAGAGAAGAATGTTACTAGTCATCTGCATAAAAGAATGCAACTTGGATCTATTCATGATACAATCAAACATCAAACTTCAGATCCAGTGTCAGAAGAACTCGATCCAGCAGATGCTCCATTCATGTTAGTGGCATAAGATTCTAAAAATTTGGACAACTTCGGCAGCAAACCTGGGCATAGCTTTAATAATGTGGTGGGGTCCGACTTCAAGCACTACAACACAAAAAATCAACAAAGAATAAGATATACTTATTAACAACATGAACTGATAGCATCATTAAAATTACCCATAGAAAAATCAATCAGAGCCTTGATTGAAAGAATGGATATCTAACTTGGTCGACAGAAAGGGTAATTTTGAACCCATTTCATTCAATGGAGAGAAATCTTTACTTTCAAAATCAAAAGGTCAGATTTGATAATATATTAGACAAATCACAAAACTTAGGTGCAATTAAAGGTGTGCTGTTTTTATTGTTTCATGGAGTACATCACAAATTACCATCGTATTAATATTATAAAAATATATATAAAAAAAATTAAAAAAAACTTGATCGAAGTAGTAGAAGCTTACATCCTGATAGAAATTATTGATCTCCTCCTCTGTGAGCCCTTCATCCTCACCAGAATCGTCCTCCTCCTCCCAACCAAGAGAACGAAGAAATGCAAATTCTTCCTCAGCAGAAGTTGAAACTTTCCATCTGATGTCAGGAAGCCTGTGAACCTCCTCCACATGAGCATTACCATTGCTAGTCACTTCAGTACTATTACCAAGATCTTGAAGGATTGCAGGGGGTTCAACTGCTTCCATATTAACTTCACCAGATTTGTCAGCCGTGGCAGGGGAAACAACAGGGCTAGAATCAGGAAGAACTGCTGAGTTCAGAGTATTCTTCTTAAGGAGATTGAAGAAATCATATCTGCTCTGTTGTTGAGAAGCTGACTGTTTCTTATCTGTTGTGGAACCTACTTTAAGATCCAAAGAAGCTGGCCTCCGCTCTGTGGGGGACTTAAGGCTATTGGGGTTCCTCAAAGGTGCAGAAGTAACAGCTGAAGCAACAGCCAGATGATTTCCGGGTTTGTGGTTAGAATAACTTGTTGGAGCTGAAGCTTCCTTTGCCGTTGCAGAAACACCATTTTCCCACACAACAGACTTAAGATCAGTAAACTTCCCAGATGTCTTTGGAGCATCACCTTTGGCATTTCCATTGCGGACAGAATGATTAACAATATGCAATGCAGAAGGTTGTTGTGGCACACTCTTGGCAGCCATATTCATATCAGCATTTCTGAGTGCTGTCTTCGGTTTTGATTTTTCAGAGTTATTAACCTGAGAAAAAATATCACAAAATCACCAAGGATTCAAGAAAATATCAACCAGTTATCAAATAGAAGACAAAACAAACACGTAACAAATTCCAGTAAATCTCACATGCAAAGAAAACATGAGAAAGATTTCAATTACATGATCCAATGTTAATATAGGACAGATACCCACAACAATCATGGTTGCCAAACAGTGACACAGAAACCAGAGTGAGCATACAAAAATCAGTGTAAACTGATTAGTGTTGGTAGACATGATAGAAACAACAAAACAAAGTAGAAAAGTGTAGTTTTCTGTTTGCTATATATCAAAATTAGAACAAAAGAGACACGGAAATACAAAAATGGTAAACTTTGGCTCAACTAAAAAGACGGAACAAAAAAGAAGATACAATACAATAGGCTATTTGGCTTCATTTTGTCTGTCAAATGCTCTACTATGATGTGAATGTATAAAAAAACGGTGAAATTGTGTATGAGTAGCATTTGTTGTAGAATTAACGGCGCATTCATAAACACCGATTAGTACACATCATACGTCCAAGAATTGCTAAAACAATAAAAACAATTGGCTATGTAAGTGTTCTGCATCATGACTCAAATTCAGGCAACAAACCCACGTCTAAGAAAGACCTGTAAAAATATGTTGAAATAATTTTACTTAGCTAATGAGTTCTACTAGAGCTACTAACGATCAAACTGTACAAGCTTAGGAACTGAAAATTTTTTTTCAAATTCTTAGAATAGAAACATAACAGTTTAATGAAACAATAAAGCATAGGAGTGATGTGAAATTGCAAACATTAATTGAGGGGCGACTAAGAGAGTAATAATCAGTAAACAACTTCTGGCTTCTGTATATACCAATCTAATCATGATTTTAAGCAAGAAGCAATCAAATAAAAGAGATAAACTTTTGTATCAACATGTTGATAAGTATTTCCCACAAGCATTGCACACACTGTAAGAAATAAACACTAACCAAACTTCATGCTAATAGTTTCTTTGACATTTTCCTCATTCTAAATCTAATGTCCTCTCTAGAAATCCACCCTCAGTAAAGCATCAATTTTAAAATTTCGGGTACTTGTCCAAAATTTTCAATTTCAACACAATTGTTTACCATTAAATAACACCCCATAACAAGATCAAACACAAGTGCAAAATTACATTAGGAAATCATGTGCCCTGGTAAAACCTAAAACAGACCAATATTATTGTAATTCAAACCAATAAATTAATTTTTCAAAAGGCAATTTACTCACCAAAGCCTTAGGCAAGGATGGTGTCACTGGAATCAACTGTCTTGACTGCTTAAGAGCAAGTTCTTCAAGCCTCTGGGTTTTGACCGAAACCTACAATTGATGCACACATTATAAGCTGGTGGTAAAATAATGAAATTATTACATTTAAATGAATGATACTGAAAGTGACAGACAGCTATCTTGATTACCTGGGGAGTTGACTGAGCTCGATATGGAGTCTGCACCAAAGCTTCAGCCATGTTAAGACCTGCTGATGTACTTGAAACTACAGACCCAGAGATTGGAGTAACAATTTGTTGTGCTGTTTGAGACCCGGTACTACTGTTTCCCATCATAGAAGGTACTTCTACTAGTGCAGAAGTCCACGAGTCTCCGCCAATCATAGGTGAACTACCAACAGGTAGAGATTGACTAGCAGTACCGCCCAAACCAGGAGATTTGACTCTGCCTATTTCGGCTGACCCAGGTCTTTCATCTCCACCGAGTGATGGAAAATCTTTATCAAAAACAGCTTTGTGATAACTGCTACTGATACTACCACCAGAAAGTGCATCACTGCCATTGCTCTGGTTGCAGTTGCCACCAGATTTAGTATCTACAGCCCCTCTGTGGTTAGAAAGCTCGTTCTGCTTCCTAGAGACCAATGAATGAGAGCGCCGCAGAGGATCCCTCTCTGACCTTACTGAGAAGAGGTCAGCCAATGGTTCAGAACATTTACGATCCCAGTGGTCTAAACAGTTGGATCTATCTTTATCTCTATCGCGGTCTTTATCACGATGATTTCTGTTGAAACTACTATAGGCATTTTTTGCAGAGCCATTGGTAGTGCCCCTCCGAGAATTTGACGAAAATGACCGTTCAAGGAACACAGAACGAGGACTATCAAAATCACTAGTTGTCTTAGAAGACCTATTCCTTGAGTGATGAGCTACAGTTTGAGTATCTACACAACAATGTTAAACCTATCAATTTATTATCGTTTCCTCTTTCTCATGGAGATAACTCCGTTATATTAAGCATAAAATAAAATCCAAAATTCTACATTTCTTGGACAAATAAGAAAAGGAATGCACAAAAAAAGTAATAGTTATAAGATTCTCTAATTCTACTATCGGAAAAAATTATTAATATTCTGAATTGATGAATATATAAAACATTAAAAAAATAATTAGGACATGGAAATTACCAGTGTGATTAGATGAAGATGCAAAATGGTGGGCTGAACTGGGAACACTTCCTGAATTTCTCAACCATTGTGGAACTAAAGCAGGTTCACTTTTGTCCATAATGAACACTGAACATGATCAGAACCAACACACAAAAAGCAGAACCAACCTTCACCAACCCCACTCCTAGAACAGCACTGTTATAGGCTGAATTCTAAACTAAACTCACTCCAATTCTCACCTCCACATTTCCCCCTAATCTAATCACCTAAACACAACTATTCCAAACCCTAAAAGATTAATCACAAAATTCACAATGCCGAACCGAAATTACCCCCTTAACAAACCACAATCTTGAATCACAAGACAATGTCGTAAAGGAAAAACTTCTCTAAGCCTCCATCTTCAATTAGAAAGATGTATTCAAATCAAACAATAACTCGAAAACTCTCTCCAGAGAGATAATCGATCCCCGAAACAAGAAAACAATGACAACTCTCAACAATCGATAAACCAAGAATTAAGCACGATTGAAAAGCCCATAAAGAAACGATATCGCCCTATATAAGGCGAAAAACGCGTCTCGAAAACAGAAACCCTAGACGTATACGCACGTGCAATAAAAACTATTCCAAAACCTAGAATTGAAAACCGAAACGATAAAATAAAAAAGATTAAAACAAAAAGGGGGAGAATAGAATATAAAATAACCCTAGCGATTAATTGATTTGAAAGGATGATAGAAATAGAGAAACGCAACGGTTTGAATAACCGTGAGAAACGTATGAGAGAGTGATGATGCTGATGCGAAATTACGATGAATGCGTTTGTGTGAATTGTGAAGAGTGCGATGAGAATGAGAGAGATATAGATGAGATATAGAAGAGAGAAAGAGAGAGTGTGAGAGAGGGGAGTGGGAAGTTAGAAAAATAGGGTTTTGTTTTTGATTTGTTTTTGTGAAGAGAGTGCGATGTGGTGTGCGGTGTGTGTGAGAACGCGAGAGAGAAGGTAGTATAATTCTGTTACTTTCGGATACTCTCCTCAGAATGAATGAAACGTATCAACAAAGAACACCCTCTTCTCTCAAATGCATACAAAATTTTTATTTTTTTATTAAACGTTAATTAATGATTTATGAAATTTCTTAATTATCCTTTTTATTATGGCTTTTCTTTTCTAAATTCTAACCCTCACACCTTCTTTGAACTTTCGTTTTTTTTTATTTTTGTTAATTTGTTATATGCGATGCTCTTTTTCTGAATACGGAAAGTTTGCTGTATGGTTGTGATGATTGTTGACCACGGATGAACCGTGGGTGAGAGGCATTCAAGTGAAGAAAGAGAATAAAATATGAGCAAAATATTAGGACTAACTTATTTTTTTGCATTTTTTTAGCTCTCTCGTTACTTACATGTTAAGAAATATAATGCATAGAAATAATGTGTTAAAGTTGTGTATTTAATTTTTGAAAATTAATTTTGATTTGAAATTTCTATTTTAATTTTTTAGAGAATGATGAACTGGTCTCTCTCTTTTTCTAATATCATAATGTGGGTAATATCAAAGTTATAAATGTAAATTAAATAAGGTAAAATGCACTTGTTATTTTAGTTGTATAATAAGATATTATATTATTATTAATTATTAATGTTTTGTTAAAGAATAAGATATCATGTAATTATTAAAGAATAACTTAAATATTTATTTGTTTTATTTTGAGTAAAAAAATATATGTTTTAGTTATGAATATGGTCCATTGATGAAGGTCATCCATTTAGGAAAATATAAAGGATACAAATTTGATGAAGGTGGTGAAAGATTTTTTCATTTGTAACTCGCATATGACATATTGGTTGGTCATACGTGAGAAAAAAGTGGTTAAATGTTTGAACCATTAAAGGGATATTGTTATTGTTTGAGTAGATGTCCGAGTTTAAATTTAACTTTTTCAAAGGTTTGCTTGTAGGGATCAATATTCTACAAAGTTAGATTATGGTGGCTTAAAATCGGGGCAAATTCGAAGCAGAATGAAACTTGACTCATGTGATAAATATTGTGAAATCAAGATTGTCTAGCTGAAAAAATAAACACTTTTTCATTGGAGGTCGAATTGTAATTTTAAAATTAGTCTTATATGCAATCTCGGTCTACTTCCTCTCCTTTTTCAAGGCTTCTTCGTCAAGTATAATTCTTAAATTATAATCGATTTTCAAGCAAATCTTATGGGGGTATGAGGAAGAAAGAAAAATTAATTGTGTCAAGTGGGATAAGGTGTGTAGGTCAATCGATGAAAGGTTGGGGATTAGAAGATACGGGCTCTTTAATGTGGCTTTTTTAGAAAAATGGAAATTGAAAATTAAAATAAAATAAAGGGGAATATGATTTTCTGCTTTAGAAAATTGATATGGATTGAATATAGAGGATATGAACTGTGGGCAAGTGGAATTTCAAGTTGGTAGAAAGATATATGCTCCTTAGATTTAGGTATGATGGAAACCTCACGTGAATATTCTATGAAAGACACTTATAAGAGCCGTTTTCCTGAAGGTAATCTCGAGTTCAAGAATCTATGGCCGAAGATTTAGAATAAATTGATCCCCTCCAAATTATCATGTTTGGTATAGAAATTGTTACATAACAGAATTGTAACAAAAGTCAATCTAACTAAGAGGGGTCTGGTGTTTTAGGGGCAATACATGTGCATAGGAGACTGTTGAGTGAGGAGTCAGTATCTCACCTTTTTATCGAGTGTCCTATTTTTACAGGTGTGTGAGTTCCATGTGCAAATTGGTATTCTTTTATTCTGGTATGCACAATGTTGTGTGGTAGCACATGAATCAGTCCGAAAAATTTCTTGACGATGGAAGATTGTCAACATCAAAGCTAGTTGTGTTATGGTGCGTGTGTGCTTGATGAATATGAAAGGCAAAGAATAATAAAATATTATGAAATAAAGAAATTCACATTGAAAATGTGGTTGAGGATGCCAAAATATGTTCTTGGAACTAACTTAATTTGAAATTGAATAGAATGAATGATGATTTCTCCATGTGGTGTTTAAATCTTAAGACCTACATGGGCATTGTTGATGATTGAAACATCATTGCTTTGGGATCATATCATCCTAGAAATAGTCATTGCATGGGTGAAGCTTGGTTATTAGGGTGTTATTATTTTGAAATGCCATTATAGAAGTATGTGTCTATTGCATTTTTGTTTTATCTTTTTTAGGTTACAAACATTGATTTTATCGCAGTTGTGTGCATTATGCTACGGTGTGAGCTTTTTCATTTATAATCATCAAATTTTTCTATTGGCATGGCTTTAGCCAATGCGGATCACTTCTGGACGAGATTTTAGAAATTTCAACTACGTGTGTATGTGAGTAGCAAGGTGTGCTTCTTTGTTTCCAACAACCCTGTCAGCGTGTTTTGTCTGCATTATTTCTTAAGTCTTATATATGATGTTGTTTGAAGTCTTTGTTTCTTCATCTCTTTGGATATATTTTAAGTTCAATGTAGTACTAGAAGTGTTTTGGTTGTTTGTGTTTGAAGGCTAAATGTTAGTTGTATAAGATTTTGTTATTGGGTGTTGTTTGTATGTCTCACTGAATTGTTTCTAGTTTTGGTATGTCCTCTTTAATTAATTGTTGTATGGAATGAGTAGTGGTATTGTCAAAATTATGTATGGTTGATGCCCTCATATCCAGTAATCCTTGTGTTCGAATGAGTTGTTTTATTAAAAGTTTTTTTGGCTGCTTCAAAAAAAACAATCGGATCAAAAGAAGGAGTATTTTTTGTTTTATCAGGGTTTTGCCAAAAAAAAATTATGGGTGATGTTACTTTTAGAATTTATATATTTTAATGGTAATACTCTATTAATCTTCAAGATTTTTACAATGTTTAATGACAATTGAGTATAAATTTATAATAGCAATATCATAAATAAAAAGTCGAATCTTGTTTAGAACACGTGGTTAGAAATGAAATCTCATATGAAAAATCTTGTTTGAAACCTTGCTTGGATTACTATCCCAAACAATAATGTTCCATTTTAATGTTAGGAAAGTATTGGGATTTTGGAATGTAACGAACGTGGAGAGCTAGTATTTTGGAATTGTGTAGAGAAGTTTGCTTCTTGTTTCGGACTAACAATGTTATGTTGGTTTTATATTAATTTGTAAGGCTTTGTTTTTTATTTCTTGTTACTTTTCCTCGTCAACAATGTCTATCCATATTTTGTTAGGAAATGTAATCAGTTTTTCCTCTTAAAAAGCCAACAGTGGTTGCATTGGAATACTATAATAGTATAATATGCATTGGTTTATTTAACATTCTTATAGGTGATTTTTGAATGGTCGATTGATTTTGGATTTTTTTTTTATGGAAAACTCATTGATTGGTTTTAAGTATAATACCCAAGAGGTACATCACCATGTATGTTTACTAGATAAACATATTATTGATTCATTAAGAAATTCTACCCCTACGAGAAAAGGTAGACCTTACTGATTTAGGCATACAGCCTTTTCGTAGACATTGCTGCTTTTATTTTTGCAAAATAAAAAATATTCAATATTTTATGCCATTTGGCAAAAAAATTGTTTTACAGCTCAAATTTTTACATTGTTTTGTAAAATATCTTTTGCAGATTTACCGTCAACGTAGACTAGAAACATTTGATTTAACAAATAATATTGAAATTTTAAAATAGCTAAAACTTCTTTTTTAATCGTAGTATTTTGGTTGTGCGGATTCTAATGTTTGGAAGTGTATGAAGTTAGTTGTTCTTTGTCAAAGCTTTATTTTTGTTTAAGAATATCACATAACCAATGTCAACAACATCAATTTCAAAAAATAAATAAAACTTGAGGGATAGGAAGATAAAGACGTGGAAAATCTTTTACTATATTCTTTTTATAGTTTTCACAACATTAGTATGGATGTCACACCAAAGATGGGAGTCTTTATTAAGTATATCATGAAGAGGTTTTATGAAACTACTAAGTTGGTGGAAAAAGTTATTAAGTATAATTTACACAATCTAAAAATCTATGCAGTTATGTTTTATCAATGATTTGGTTTAGAATTTTATCAGCAAACTCAATTGATCCATAAATA